AGTTGGTCCCCCTCTCCACCAGCAAAGAGAGTGTCAGGGAGAGGAGCAGGTTACTCCCTCTCCCCAGCGGCAGTCTACAGTTCAGAGAGAGGAGCTTGTTACACCCTCTCTCCAGCAGCAGCCTAACCCACCAAGGGGAGATGTTAAGCCCCACAACTATGCAGATGGGACTGTAGTCTCTGCACTTGCAGCACCAGGGGTAGGGACGGTCGGTCCTGTCCCCCAGCCACAGAGCAGTGTATCCAGGGGGGAGACAGTCGGTCTCCCCCTCCCACAACCAGGCTCCAACCAGGCTACTTCAGTGGTAGCGCTGGCACCCGGGCAGAGTACCGCTGGTCTCTGCCCCCTCAGCAACCCACCAAGGCAGTCTACCAGCCCCCCGCACAGCCGTGGTGAGGCACCTGGACATGGACAAGTTGCTATTTTATCCAGGTGTAGTAACCAGTTATTGTGGGCGGGCTGTATTGCTGTTTGTGCTTCGTGGGTGGGTTGCTGGACTAACCAGGGCATTGACCGGCAGGAGGTCAGATACCCTGTTAGTCTGGATGGTAAAGGGGAGAAATGTGGCGAAACCGGCCTCGCCACGTGTCCTTGGAGGGGGCTGCTTGCCCGCCTCTTGCCTTTGGACTATGGACCAGACTTTATGAGAATGTGTTAACCCAGATAGCTATGCCATGGAGCCCATTTGTGTAGTTAAAGACTTCGGCTCCATAGCAATTGAACTGTGTGAATAGGATCTGAGCGCTCTTCAGTAGTTTTGTGCGCTCAGATCCCAGCTATCTGGGGATATGTGAAATGTCTGTGTGTTATGTGAAAAGGTTACTTTATGTATTTTAAAGTGTTTTGTGTCTTTTTGCAACCATGTGCTTAATGGAGTCTTGTGTCTGTCCTGGGAGATAATTGAATTACTTCTCAATTCAATCTCCAGGATAGAAGACTCTGAAACTGGTTTGGGCCAGAAAGCTATGCTTCATTTAGTCACAAAGGACTTTTTACTAACTTTTGAACCCCTTGTCTGATTTGTGCCATTTTTGAATATGTTGTTCCCCTGAATGGATTGATTGTGAATATGTAATTTTATGTGAATGTGATGTATGGTTTTGAGTTATGAAAGTTGGGTAGAAAGTATGTTTTAACTGTATGTATAATTGAGTTTCCTCTCAGGATAAGGGGAGGGAATATGTGGGATGTAACTGATGTGATTGGTTGTTTTGTAACGCCCTGTGGGCTGTACTATGTTTGTGGATTGGGAATAAAAGAGACTGTATGTGACAGTACAGAGAGTTCCTGTTTTAACCCTCAAAGTGAAGTGTCGTCTCATTATTGGGGGAAGGATTTATTGTATGCTGTTCCAGTTTGACTGCTAGGAGAGTAAACCTATTCATATGGTTCCTATTCAACTGTCTACAGCATTCATATGCTTGAGAGAAGGTATACGCTTCTCTGGTTCGGTGATTGTGGTGTCGGCTGCAGTGCTTGGAGTCCTCAGGAAGCGCTAGGAGCATCTTTCAACGGAGGTACCCAGTCGGGGTGCCAGGCGATCCGTTACAAGGGCTATAGTACTCCTGGCATCACAACACCTACAGCACTAGTATAAAGCCCTTTTAAAAAGCCTAGGGGGTCAACTTGACTCCCCGCCCGAACAAATGGTCTGAATTTGAGCTTGGATTAAATTTAAAAAAAGTTCTCCAAAACCAGATGATGATTATCGACTGGTAGAATTAAATCGAGGCCTTTGTCTGGTTATAGAATAATTTTATATAATAAGATACTTGTACAATACTATAATGTTTTTGTAGACATTTTGCTAAATGATGTTTTTACAAACTCCCCTTCCCACTTAGGTTGGCCACCAGCCTCCTGCCCACAGACTATGGGCCCTGCAGGGAAACCTGTAAGAGACTATGTAACATGTGATTTCCCTATACTGTTCAAGAACCAAACAGCCGTATGAACTATGGACCACCTGGGAGCTTGTTAAGCCTAATGGATACATTGTAACGATCCTAACCACAGTGTTCTAATCATTCATCTGGGTGGCTGCAATTCGTATGAACGACCACGAGGTGGTGGCCATCTTGTTCGCATGAAAAAAGGCAGCGGCAGCGGTGTTTGGTCGTCGAGTTCATGGAACTACTTTCGGACACTGAAACTCCCGAACACCGCTGGACTTCCATGATCGGTTTTATATAACTTAGAAGAACACTGTTCAGTGGGATTGTTCTTGTGGATGAAGGGAACAAGCGTCATGGTATAGCTATTGACTATGTTCGGTAGTTTGTTAGTTTTTAAACTACCGAACTTGACCGACCACTACCACTTTTCCCCTGGAACTGTTTTGGGCATAGAACCATGTGTGCGGTTGGTCAAATTACGACTTCCAGGAAAATCTCAAACCCCTGAACCGATCTAGGTGATTTTTGGATATGTTGGTCACCCAGATCGGGGTTACATCATGGGATTTTTTTTCTGTACCTGGAGATAACGGAGTTAGTTCAGTTCCTGACTCAATTACCTCTCAGGCACAGAGGAAGAGTTTGTAACTTGTAACTAGTCCCCTCTCAGGTCCAGAAGAGGGAGTGTCAGGAGCGTGCTTAACTGTGTCTGAAATTGTATAAAAGCATGACATCTGGCCAGATTAAAACATTCCATCATGTACTCCCAGAACTATGTGTCGTGGACTCGTCTGGTAACTGGGAGGGGAAAGGGCTAATCACTAATCACTGTTCGAGTGTGGAGGATTCAACAGGGTTAAGTCCTTGTAAGGACTAGAGCTACCAGGACTGAGTGTTGTCCAGTGCCTTGGGGTGTCTAGAGCGAATTCCCCATTCGGATCCAAGAGGCATGGCGACTGTGGGCAGAAGTGCTGAGGTTTGTCCCCTGTTTCAGCTAGGAAGCGGTCCTTGGCGGAGGTACCCAGCTGGGGAACAGGGATCTCCGTTACAGATTGTTACGCAGTGCCCTTCCCCCTAAAATCCACACAGGACACAAGTCCCAAATGGAACGAACATACAATACTTTATTTTACTTGGGACTTTCCCATATGTTCATTATATCAAGCTTGCTGTGACAAACTTAATAAAATACAAATAACAAAAACATTTCAGAAAACATACAGAGAATTACAATAACATAATAAAGGGGTGGGGAGCACAATAATTACCACAAAATATCTCAAGCTTTGCTATTCAGATAGTGCATATAGTTGCTGCTACCAACAGAGGGCGCTCTGCAGGGCTCCCTAGGCAGATCCACCTACCTGGCAGCATACGCAGAACAGGAGAGCACACAAAACAATTAACAATACACAAATACATATACACACCATGCACCTATAATGGGCACAGGGTGACTTAGACATAGGAGTAGGCCAGGGTCCTAAAGTGTTCATCTGAAAGTCCTGGTGATGGTCACAGGCATGCTACCTGCTCTTCACTATGCATTGCCAGACCCCTTCCACTGGCTGCTCCTTTAACTACCATGAGTATGCCGGTACCAGCCTTCAACTCCAAAATGTGGATTTTTAGAGGGTGCATGCACTTATACAATTTAATTTTTTTTTAGAAAAATAAAATCTCATTGTGGCGAAGATGAATCTGCCACATGTTTCTGGAGGGGCCTGCTGGCTAGCCTCCTGCCCAAAGACTATCGGCCATGTAAAAAGACATATTAAAAGTTGAAAAATCCATTGAAAAACCAAGCCACTGAACAGATCTGAGTGATTTTTGGATATGATGGTCACTCAGATCAGGGCTATCCGAGGATGTGACTCTTGAGGGGTTACCAAGGATTTTGGGGGTACTTTTGTGGTGTAAGAAATTATGACCCTCTTACAAGGATATTCTTTTAGGGAATGTGTGACAAATAAGACATAAACACAAGTGTATAATAAAATGTATTGTAAATATTCACTTAAGGATACTGTTAGATTTTAAAAGGATATACACAATATACATTATACATTATATCCGGTACATAATCAAAAGCTACATAATAAAAGGGCAATACTTAAACATTTAAATGCAGGTCTTCCCCTTGCGCCTTCATCTTGGGTAATCTGGGACAGCCTCTCTCAGTTCACCATGGCCCTGCTTGCTGTGTTGTCCTCTCCAAAGAGAGAGAGAGAGAGAGAGAGAGCCTTCCTTGGATGTTGTCCTTTTAAAGACTGATTCTTGGAGTAATAAATTACAACTCCCAGAATCCCTTTTCCCTCCCAAAAGTGGTTTATCCCGCCCTCTTTCTCCAGAGAGTTCTGTCTTTACACAAGTCTTTCCCTTTGATCTCTTCCCTCCAGCTATACTGTAATGTTCTGAAAGAAGTGACCAGTTAGGGTTGGTTTCTGGGTGGGTTAGACTGCTTGGGAAAACACACACTTCCATGGTTACACCTAGATGTCTATTACTCTGATCTCCTGATAACATGCAAGGAATACTGGAGGGATGTAAGCTTTTGTTTTAGCTGGGTGTTGTAAAATGCAACTGAAAGCTTTGATCCTTATCACACTTTTATCAAGTAAATGACCCCAACTTGTGAAACCAGTCACATACACAGAAAGTTATATACAATATTGCAGTTTGGAATATCAATTTCTTACAGTGGTGTTTGTAAATTATGTGTTTTTCTCTACTTGGAGATATTTGAGTTTGTACAGTGCCTTTTAACCACTTCAGCGCCACGGGAGGGGGGACCCTCAGGGCACTATAGTGTCAAGAAAACCGCTTTGTTGTCCTGAATCTATAGTGATCCTTTAAAGAGACACCACCAAAGCTTATTTTGGCCTCAATTTAATTCCAGCTTATCACTTTTATCTGCAGTTTATCGGCTTCTGATAAGCATAGAGGCTAGTATACTTAACAGCAAGCATTCAAAGTGGGATCTGCATACGTTGGAGTAGAGGCAGGCTTATGTAATGTATGATCATATACTGGAGCTAAATCCCTATTACTTTTGCCTAATTCAGGTGTTTAAGAAACTATTTAATTTTGTGAGCTATGCAGCTGGTGTTTAGTGAGTAAGTGCACAAACCAAAAAAATAAATGCACATATGTGAAAGTAAGCAACTTCTCAATATGACTGAAACATAATTTCACTTTATTCAATTTAATAAGACATATTTAAAACAAGACATGGCACTAAAGTCCAACCAGAGAACTAACCAATGAAGTAGACATGCATAGATATATAAGATATTATCAGTTTTAGATATGTGCTGTATTAAAGGACCACTATAGTGCCAGGAAAACATTCTCTAGGTCCCCCCACCCTCAGGGACCCCATCCCGCCAGGCTCTAGGGGGGTGGAAGAGGTTAAATCTTAACTGCTTTCCTCAGCCAGGCTCCCTCGGTGCGGGAAACTCTCCTCCTCTTTTTCGCCATCATCGGCTGAATGTGCATGCGCAGCAAGAGCCGCGCGTATTCAGTCAGTCCATAGGAAAGCATTCTCAATGCTTTCCTATGGACGCTGGCGCCTTCTCACTGTGAAAATCAATGAGACAGCCACTGGAGGCTGGATTAACCCATGGGTAGAAACTGCTATGTTTACAGTAGAAAGGGTTAATCCTAGATAGTTTGCTTTCCTCGCTGGTGAATTTGCTCATGTCTGCTAAGCTCTGACTTTGTGACAAAACATTTCCCACACTCAGAACATGCAAATGGCTTCTCTCCTGTGTGAGTTTTCCCATGTCGACTAAATGCAGACTTTGCAGCAAAACATTTCCCACATTCAGAACAAGCAAAAGGTTTCTCTCCCATGTGCGTTTTCTCATGGCTTATAAGGCTAGATTTTTCCATAAACTGTTTCCCACATTCAGGACATTCATATGCTTTCTCTCCTGTATGAGTTTTCTCATGCCGAACAAGTGCTGACTTTGCTGCAAAACGTTTACCACATTTATGACATGCATATGGTTTCTCTCCAGTGTGATTTCTCTGATGTATAAGAAGATGTGCATACTGGCTAAAACATTTCCCACATTTAGAACACTGGAAAGGTTTCTCTCCTGTGTGAATCCTCTCATGTTGCCGAAGAGCTGGCTTTGCTGAAAAACATTTCTTACATTCAGAGCATGTATATTTTATTTGTCCCAGGTGAGCTCTCTGATGTTCCCACAGTTGTGACTTTTGAGAGAAACGTTTCTCACATATGGAGCATGCAAACAGTTTTTCTCCTGTGTGAATACCCTTGTGTCTACTGAGCGCTGACTTTGCGGCAAAACATTTCCCACATTCAGAACATATAAATGGCTTCTCTCCTGTGTGAATTCTTTTGTGTACAATAAGACATGACTTTCTTTTAAAAGATTTCCCACATTCACAACATGCAAATGTTTTTTCTCTGGTGTGATTGTTTTGGTGTTTTAGAAGCGTAGATTCAAGACACTTATCATTGCCAGAACAATTTGAACTATTAGTTATGCCGCCTATCTCACACTTAACAAGATATGACTCACTAATAACACATTTATGATCCAAATCATTAAATAATTTCCGTGGCGAAGCTTGAATTTCATCTTGCCCTCTAGGAGATATTTCATGAGCTTTTATTACTGCTGAGTTATCTTGGCGAGGTATAACATGACTGTTTAAAACTGAATCCTCATCCATTATTTACAGGGATGTCTTCAGACCTTCGTCTGGAATATCTCCATAATATTATGATAGAAGAGCCGTACGTGATATTGAGTTTCTGAACTCATAAAGTCTTTGGAAACATGACACAATTTTACCACCTAAAACAAAAAAGTAATAGTGAATAGTTGCAGTCATATTGTTAATACATTCCTACATTCATGAACCATCTTGGAGTGTGCAAATTAGACCAAATGAAGCACAGAAAATACTGCATATATGTGCCATACGTATTACAGAGTCATTTCGGCAAGTCAAAGCCGATAATGGTTTTCCTCATTATAGAAAAATCGAATTAAAAGGAACAGTGAAGGCGGTAACCGAGCACCCTTCTTTTTAAATGCTAAAAGCTAAAAAAAACTTTTCCAAACAATGAATTTGAGCCATTCGATACTTAGCCTTTTGCCAAATGCTGTACAATCGTGAAAGGGGCTTTTTTGGCAATTTCCCCCACCATAAATGTACTACTTTCTCTTTAAGAGTACCTACCCATATGTACTATAAATTGTCTATTAAAGGACAGATTGGACTTTCTTGTGATATTCCATTTGTATACTTAACATAATAATTATGAAAAAAAAACTAGAACATAAAAATGGGAAACAATATTAAAACCAACCCACTGCCAAACATTTTCTCCCTTTATCTTGTATAACTTCTATACAATTACTTACTGCAACTAAAGATAAATAACTCATAATAGCTGCACTTATTAGTTGCAATTGATAAAAAGCCTCATATTTCTTGACTTGCATTTTAATTTTTGGAACGTAAAGAAGTTTACTGTGTTTGAATCACAGTTTTGCAAAATGTGGAATTCTGAGACTATAAGTTTAATAGCAGTTACAGAATCCAAAATAGTTACACAACAGTTTATAACTGTAGAAAGAAGACCCACCAGGGTAACTATGAACATTTTGACAGTTTTCAACCAACCATGCCACCACCAATCCGATATATTTCATCTAATTTATTTTCCCACACGTCATTTTGTGGGTTTATTTTTACGGACTATGTGTATCCCAATACTGTAAAGACCTCTGACCACAATATCCCTCTGTCTTGAAACTATAGTGCTTTCCCGGTGCATTCGTGTAATTGCCTGTCCTTACCCCCGTTCGTTTATTTGCTAATCTACTGAACAAACTGCTGAATGGCCGGCCATCCAAAAGAGGAGTGTGCAGCTGGTTAACCTACTGGCCCCAATTCGAACGTTGTGGTTAACCGCAGGCACCTCTTAATTGAAACCATATGCTGGGTGGTCGTCGTTCGTATGCCGACCATGAGGCGGCGGCCATCTTAGATTCATGAATACACAGCGGTGTTTGTCGACAAACTTATGGAATTCAAAACGGACACTTTTTATCCCGAACACCGCTGAAACCGCTGACCTCCATTCTTTGTCATCCAGCATATGAACACCGGTCCATTCGGGACTTTTATTTCACGAATGGACTTAACCCAGATAGCCATCCCATGGAGCCCTTCGTATACCGAAAAAACAGTGTGAAAGACTTTGGCTCCATGGCGATTGAACTGTGTGTATTGGATCTGAGCGCCATTCGGTAATAATGTGCGCTCAGAGCTAGGCTATCTAGGGATACTTTATATGTACTGAATACATTCGGTAGTTTTACAGTTATGGAATTTGATGTATTTTTACTGTATCATTTAAAATGGCGTTTTGCCTCTATCCATGAAGATAATTGGATTTCTTTCCAATTATCTCCAGGATAGAGAGGAGGGGTTTGCTTGTACCAAGGGGAGGATTTATGCCTGAGCCACTGTGATTGGCTAATGTACCATACTTGTCCCAGTCTTCCATCTGGTCCCCTAGGAGAGTGTCCACCAGGTGGGAGACCTGCATAAATACTGGGCATGTAGCCCTCAATAAATAAGATTCCTGTTTTACCCTCAAGAAAAAGCTTGGTCTCGTGTTTGGGGGGGATTGCTACTTTGGAGTATTCTTTTGCCTGTTCCAGGAGAGAAGGAGTTTGCATGATTCTCCGTTTGGGAGTTTGGAGCATTCCCTTGTATTCCGTTTGGGAGTTTGGCGGTCTCCAGTAACTGTGCCTGTGTCTCTAAAAGGGGGGAGATCTACTAAACGGTGGTTTCACTCATTTATGCCAGGAGTGTCTTAACAATCCCACATGCAGACTATTAGTTACAGGGTCAAATTACAGAAATCCGAATTTTAGATTTCCACTACATCCCTTTCCTGCTAATTTTAATGTTAAATAAAGGAAAGAGCTCCAGGCACTCTTGGTTCAAAATAGGCAATTTATTGGAACCACAGCTCATCGGTTCAAAATAGGCAATTTAATGTTAAAATCACCCACAGTAGGCCATTGAATGCTATTAAAAAAAGCAGGAGGTAAGAAATTCTAATTTAATCCCTTAACGTTATGCTGACCTAAAAACAGTGGACTGTAACGCCATTATGACAGCATGGAATACCTTTTAGTTTTAGTGTGAGCAAGGTTAGATCCCAGCTTACACTGGAAAGATCAATTGATACATATGGTCCTATTTAGTGACAACAGACTGACCATTAAAACTGTATTCAACGTCTGTAATTGGCAGCATACCACCACACACAGGAAGAACCCCAGAGTCTGAAAGGACAATGATAAGGTCTCCTTGCACCAATCACTTTGTAATAGGCGGGAAAAGAATGCAGGATCTGCAGCATAAGAGTGAGTACTCCCTCTTATGCGGCAATTGCACTGTGCAGAGCATGCTATAGTGGATGAGATAGGAAATCCCTCTGCTAATGTCAGTACTGCTCATTCTGAGTTAGGGTTATCATTAGGGTTAGTGTCTGTGGAGGCTCATCCATAGGGGCAGTACCCCAACTGCTTTTGTTGCAAGAAAAAAAAACAAAAAAACAAAAAAAACAATCAATACAACTTAAATAAATGAAACAATCTAACTTTCTATATGTTTAGTTATGTGCATTTATGTGTGTATATACATTATATATATAGAGAGAGAGAGAGAGAGAGAGTGCTGGATATAAAATTACAGCTTATTCTGTAAATAATAAACTAAATTTGATCTTTAAAATGATTTTGTTTAGTTTCTTTAGGCAGAGCTCTCTTCACCTACTGTTCCTGGAAGTCAAACATATTCGGTTAGAATTAAAGGGACACTATAGTCACCAGAACAACTACAGCTCAATGTATGGTGTGATTTAGATACCAAAGAAAACTTTGATTATTTGTCTATCTACTCCTTTCTAAATTGATTGTGCGCATGTCTTCTGGAAGTAAATCACACCGGACACATTGCAGGTTTATGAAGAACTCCAGAGTGGCCTTTATTCCAGGGGGTGCAATTCCCTTTTAAAGCAGAAATACGTCATGTACAGAGTCACAGTTAACATACAGTATACATTCATCAATTGGTTAACAGTCTAAGGGGTCTTGTCTAAACCCCCCTACAGGATGTAGTGTCGTCATTACAGACTTCTCCCACCCACATTCCAGCTCCATCTTGGTTACACGATGGGAGGGGGGGAAGTGAGTAGTAGTTACTTTAACAGTGATTCTCCATTTTGTTAGCTGTTACTTTGCACAAAGGAAGTGGGGGAGGGGTTTAATAAAGGAAGATGTTCTTTTAACAGAGGAGCTTTGTTACACAAGGCTTGATGGGAAGGGGGGAGGCTAGCAGGATGGGAGGAATTTGCAGAGGAAATAGCAACTGAACACATTGTAGGGGGGGAAGGGAATATTTACTCTAGCAGCCAGTTTTAACATAGTGAACACAGAATAAATAGACATTAGTAAATAGCCACTTTATTTTAATTCTTCTGTCCCTAACAGGTGTACAGCTTAATGTATGGTATACAGCTTAATGTACGGTATACAGCTTAATGTATGGTATACAGCTTATTGTACAATATACAGCTTAATGTATAGTATACAGCTTAATGTACGGTATACAGCTTAATGTACAGCATACAGCGTAATGTACGGCATACAGCTTAATGTACGGTATACAGCTTAATGTATAATATACAGCGTAATGTACGGCATACAGCTTAATGTACAGTATACAGCCTAATGTACGGTATACAGCTTAATGTATAATATACAGCGTAATGTACGGCATACAGCTTAATGTACGGTATACACAGGGCCGGTGCAAGGATTTTTGCCGCCCTAGGCAAAAGTAAAGTTTGCCGCCCCCCTCCTCCCCCCCGTGACATCGCAATGCCCCACCCATATGACCTGCCATGTTAACTAACGCTAGTGCTGCAGTGCCGCTGTGTTTACATTAAAAGACACCAGGACCACTACATTAAGGTACTACATTTAATGTGAGGTAAATTAGAGATTAGTGCCACGAATAATATACTAGATTGCCTACTTACAAGCAGATGAGGATGATGATGGGTTCTAGCTGCAGTCTGGCTCCACTGGTCTGGTGTATAACAGGATCTCTGGAGGCTGTTTGTAACTGTGGTCACACAAATCAATGTTCTGGGAGAACGAGAAGCAGCTCCATTTTTTGGGGGCCCTTTACACAGCTCAAGGTCTGGGTCCCAGGGTCCACCTTCATTTTCCACCAATGAGTTTGTTCACAGGGGATGGAGTGTGTAGGGAATGTCCTGATTTGTGTGTAAGGAATGCATTGTGTGAATCTGTGTTTGTATGTGTAAGGGCTGCAAGGTGTGTTTCTGTGTATGTAAGGGATGAAGTGTGTGAGTCTGTAAGGGGTGCATTGAGTGTGTGTAAGGAATGCATTGTGTGTTTCTGTGTGTGCAAGGGATGCATTGTGTGTAAGGGTTGCATTGCGTGTGTGTGTGTATGTAATGCATTGTGTGTGTAATGCATTGTGTGTTTTTCTGTGTGCAAGGGGTTCATTGTCTTTGTGTATAAGGGGTGCATTGTGTGTGATTGTGTGTGTGTGATGGATGTCAATCTCTCCCCCCTCCCTTGTCACTCTCTTCTCCCCCCCTCCCTTGTTACTCTCATTCCCCCTCCCTCCCCTGTCACTCCCCCCTCCCTGTCAATTTCTCTCTCCCCATCAATTCCCCTCCCTGTCAATGTCTCCCCCCCTGTTAGTTTCTTTCACCCCCACCTCCCTGTTAGTTTATTTCTTCCCCCCTCCCCTCCCTGTTTCTTTCTTCCCCCTCCCCTCCCTGTTTCTTTCTTCCCCCTCCTTCCCTGTTTCCTTCTCCCCCTCCCTCCCTGTTTCCTTCTCCCCCCTCCCTCCCTCTTTTTTCCCCCTCCCTGTTTCTTTCTTCCCCCTCCCTCCGTTTCCTTCTCCCCCCTCCCTCCTTCCCTGTTTCCTTCTCCCCCTCC